GCTGGTCAATCATCGAGGGTCGAGATCCTGAGATGAGAAGCAGGAAGAGGAACCCGTACGCTATAATAGCTGACCAAGCACTGGGAAAGACATGGAGGTAATATTCTCACGATTTATTTATATAATATTCGATGAACTTTGTAGATTATTCCGCATACATTAAAAGAATCTAATGTGAAACTATAATGATATCAAGATTCCTGTTAGATTTAAATTAACATAAGTATGTGATGAAATCGGAGCTACGTGTCGAGGATGAAAATAATGTTGATATAATTTAATGTTAGTGTTCAAATATAGATTTTTTAATATACTATTATTCCACAATTAAACTTCTGGGGTTATCCTCTGCGAGTTGCCTCTTCGAATCCATAAACTGGTTTTCTCTGCTGAAACATCTGTACATAATCTTTCTAATCCAATAAGCAGTTCTTGGAATGAATGCGTTGAAACAAACATTTCAACATATCGAAATAATATATGCAATTTTAAATCACTTTATTAAATATTAAAACAATATAAAATTATTATGCCGCCTGTAATCTTAATTTTAGCCTATTATATTATATAAAAGTGAAAAAATGTATAAATTTATTTTATAGTTTAAATTGATATTTAATTGTATATTTCAGTGCTGCGGTGTCCCTTGCGATCATCGTGTCGCTGTTCGGCGCGGCCGTGGTGTACTTGTTGTTGGCCGCTCAGATAATAGAGGCGGTGGTGCTGCCGCTGGTGCCAACCGTTACATTCTGCCTCTGGTATCTGATCGTAGCCGGCGCAATGACACCCCTCATGCTCTTCGCAACACCAAAGGATTTCTCGTAAGTAAACCAGTGGGACCCTCTAGACAAAGCAATTCGACAAGTCAAAAATGTATGGGGATGACAATAACTATTGATATGTCAAGTGCTTGTCGTGTACTTATTATGCCTGTACATTTTGACACATTTTGTCGATTCTACTAGCGATATCTCGCTTACACGGGTTGACGCCGCGCGGTCCCTGAAGTTTCCGCGGGGCGTCAACCCGAGCACCATTCACTCGCCTGCACCGGCGTCGTGGTGTCAGCGGGCCGCCCAAAAGCGGTCCGTGAGGCGACGTCGGCTAGGCGTCAAGTCAGAGAAACAGTCAAGACGCCAAAAGCGCGCGGGTCCCGAGGCGCGGCCTAGCTGCCTGCGCAAGCCCGCGCAGTAAGCATTTATTAGTTACTGCCATTTTTTTTAACTTAAAATAGGACAATATAGAACTGGTGAAAACTTCAAAGACTATCAACATTGTTCACATTTTTTCCTATCCTAGTTATTCTTAGGAACCAAGCAAGCATGCAAGCAAAGAGCTTAGTTGGAATGGTACAAGAAATATTAGTAAATCGGTATTATTTAAATATGAATACAACTTTTACAAAACAAACAAAAAATACCGTTACGATTGGAGCGTTTTATCTGCCTTTTTTGATTTAATTATTTTTATAAATGGATCATAAAATGGGATTAAGGAAATTCCGGGACTAATCAATACGTTAGAGACACGCAAGAAAGTGATTGGAATAGTGAATGCCGCAGCGTTGGTCAGGCGTTCATCGGTTAACAGCGAGGCGTCGACGACGCACTTCGGCAGCAACGAACGCGAGGTGGGGACACCGAAGCGAGCTATGAGTTCACCACAGATGACTCTAAATAAGAAAACTTATTTAATTATATCACCATGAAGTATTGGCAATGAAATAAAAGTTGCGGGGAGTCGCTATATCTATAATTGTCATAAGGCAATGTGATCTACCAAAACTGGTGTGTAACATAAGACAACTTGTATATAGCGACGTATTTTGTAGTCAGATGACTATTGCCAGAAACAAGAATAACTTATTTATTTCGGATGAATATTTAACAGATGCTTATCTAAGAGTTTTAAACATAATATGAAAATTAGTTGAATATTGATTTTAAATCGTTACCTTTTATGACAGGGCTGAGTATATCAAGTAGGCGAATAAATAAAATAGATATTGGTCGGTCAAATGTTATGTAGTATAACAACTAATGTTTCAAAACTGTTGCTTTACGTCTTATGAACTTTATCTGATAAACAGGGAAGAGGAGCGTACTATCTACTCTACTCTTCTTAAGCAATACGTGGTAAATAAAATTATAGTAATAATCAAGTATAGCAATACAATTGTATTTATTTTAACTTTCAGATTCATGGGAGTGATTGCTTTCATCTCGACAATAGTGGCTTGCGTGCTCTATTTCATCCAGATGATGAATGATATCAAGCCATTTGTATTCCGCTGGGGCATTCACGGCTTCCAAGACTTCTTCTTGGCTTTCGGCACCATCATGTTTGCCTTCGGAGGAGCCTCTACCTTCCCAACTATCCAGAATGATATGGTTGACAAATCCAAGTTCGGAAAAAGCATTCACTACAGTTTCTTAGGTAAGAAATCATATAGTTAGGTAATAATATAAAATATTTGTAATGTAAAATATTTACAATTATAGAACATATTTGTGCTCTATGTCTATTACAGTTGTTAATTGCCGAATCAATTTGCATGTCACCAATCCGGTTTCTAATTATGTCTTCGAAAATAAAACATCATACTGAACGCTATATTGTATATAATTAAATTTAATGATTCACTAAAATTGCGAAATGGTAAAACCAGTTTAGTTTTCTTGGAAACGTCAGTATATAACTTAATTTCACTTGTGGCTATAGTTTATGAAGTTCCAAGTTTGCTAAAGTGACGCAAGTTAGCAGACTATGGGTGCTCTATATATTAGTATACTAATTACTAATATTATAAATTCAAAAGTTAAGATGGATGGATGTTTGTCTGAAGGTATCTCCAGAACGGCTGAACGCACCTCGATGAAATTTGGCATACATATAATATATAGTCTGGAAGAACACGTAGGCTACTAGTTATGTGATTTTTAAATTCAGACGGAGTCGCGGGCGACAACTAGTATACTAATAACTTTACTTACAAAAGATTCGCTGACGGCTAAATGTTTTATATCTTTGCTTGTCGTTTTTTTAAAGGCGCTAATTGGAAATATTATACGTTCGTTCCACAGCTATCCTTGCGTTGTACCTGCCAATAGCTATCGGAGGCTACGCCGTGTATGGTGAATCTGTTGCACCCAATATTTCTGGTTCTCTAACCGCCACTCCTTTGACCCTCGTCGGAAACATCTTCATGGCTGTCCATCTTCTGGCCGCTTTCATCATTATCATCAACCCTGTTTGCCAAGAAATGGAGGAATTGTACAACATTCCTAGAGGTAATTTATATTCATATGAGCAAATACGTATTTAAATAATTTGCATTTTTATAACCATTCCAACTAAATCTTACATTATTTAACTCAAGAGGTTTGCTTTAAATTTATTCCTATCTCTAAAATAAAAAAGAACTTCATATGTTTTTTAATTATATTCTTCACCTTCATCGTGATAACAAATAGAAATTGGCTATAAAAAAGAAGTTCGATATTAATATTAACTTAATAAATCGAATTTAAATTTAAATTAACTTAATTTTTATTACAGATTCTCTTGGATACCGTACACTTGTCCGTGTATCTATAATGGCGGCGATAATGTTCATTGGTGAGAGTGTTCCACGGTTCTACACCATACTGGCGCTGGTTGGAGGAACTACCGTCGCTCTCTTGACCTTCATTCTGCCCTCTTACTGCTATTTGAACCTCACCAGCCAACCTCCCAGGCAGGGAGAGGCGGCTTCGTAAGTTATTTCATTTAAATATAGCACATTTTGTCTTTGTTCAAAAATAAAAAAGCCATGGAACTGCTAATAATGGGACGAAAGTAATTTTTGCTCCACTGGTAATAGAGTAATGTTTTTTTAATGTTGGCTCTAGATTAGTATATATATATATATTCCATTACGAATGTTCTGTTGTTGAACTCCTGTCATTTCTTTAACGTCTTAAATGTCTTTTCTGTTCAGTGAGACACCTGGCTGGATGAAGCTGATTTGCTGGGAAATAATAGTGATGGGCGTTGTAGGGGGCGCTGCTGCTACATTCTCCGCCGTCAGCGCCATCTTTAGCACTGCGCAGGCAACTCCCTGCTATATGAAATAAGCTTTATTATTTTCATATTTGGCCTACAAAAAAAGCCAAATAGTAGTATACGCGGTTTATTCTTTATAAGTAAGGTCTCTGACTAAATAATGTAACATGTGCTTACATCTAAGTTTAACCGCAAAGTTAATAATTTAATTATATTTTTCCTTTAACTCTTTCTAAGAGTATTCGAATTATTTGATTATTATGTAGCATTTATTTTTTGGATTTATTAAAGGTAGTTTTCGAAAATTGTTGGTTTTATTTTCATCTTAATCCCATATCATGATCTAATTGAATTCATATAATAAAATACCTGCTAAGATACAAATTAAAGTTAAATTTTAATGACAAAAAATGTGATCAAGGCGGTCTTAGAAAGAAGAAATTAAATATATACTAAATGAACTGTCTGTACATAAAGAATGAAATTAATTAAAATGTTAAGTGTATAATAGTTATATCATAATGGAATTATATTGTCCTAACATAAATCTAACTTACGTCAAAAGCAATCAAGCAATCTGGAAATATAAACTTAGCGAAAACACATGTGTTGTTTCGAAGGCGAGGGGTTTGCCCGTGGTCAACGAGTCTACGCCGCGGCGAGTTGCCGAAAGATGTGATAAACTTTGAGCTTTATATAACAGAAACTAATTCGGTGTATTATTTAATAGTGCCAATATATTATCTACGGTGGGTTTGAATTGGTTTCACTTGTAATATTGTCTCTGTTTTATTAAACAAGATAAAAGGGACGACACACAAGTATCACGTTAGTGGAAACCTACTGTATTGTATGAAGAAGAATGAAGTCTAATCAACTTTAGTGTACGCGACAATAAGCGTTCTTGAGTCGATATCTCGGTATCGTTAAATTCGTGTGACATTGAGTCATTGAGTTGTTATCTCTTAGCCCCGGGTGGCGAGTCATTATGTTCAGGAGATCGGAACTTGTCGCACGACTTACTTTTAATTATCCCAAGATTTATTCAAATCTCTAAGTAAGTCTTTTATTTTTTTAAGTCAACTGTATTTCTAACCTAAGGAAATTATATTGTTTTTTATCTGATATTACTATAAGCAATTATTATTTATAGTTTTGATACAATAATTAGTTAAGTAACTATATTATTAAGTTATCTTTGAAGCTTCTTTCAGTTGTTTCAAAGACTTAAAGCTTAGTAAAGTAAATATGTAAATTTGTTATGTAGTCAAGACTGATTCAACATACTAGTTACGTAGTTACTATGATAAGCGAGAAACCTCTACAAGCAAAAATCTAGGTCTGACTATAATAAATACGTAACTTTAGGTTAAACCAACTTTTATATTTTTAATTACAGGAGAAAAAATAATAAAGATGACAAGTAGCATAATTCGTATAGCAGCCAGAATAACAAAATGCCGGCCTATCACTGCGTGCAGCAGACACCATCAGTACAGCACAGAAAAAAAAGGTATAGTCCCATCCAAACTTTACGACACCTTAAAATAGTGACATAGTTGCCATAAGTTTGGATCTTATTATACCGATACATAATTAATTATTTGCTTGCTAAGCGTTACGTGTTGAGGTAGGCTCCACACAGCATTTGTTATAAAAGTTTTCACTGAGTTAATACGTCTTCCACGTTTTACGCATTAGGCAAAAAGTAAGCAATCATGTTTCAGTCTTACAAGATTGGAATCACAAACGAAGGTTTTTTTTAAACTAAGCGCCACTTTATGATATAATAAGTTTATGACCTGACAAATGATGATACAATAAACATGTAATACAACATTCACTTAAGTTAACTTAAGTATCAAAAACATAGAAATTCAACGATTTATCTTACGTCGCAATTACTTGGACTACAAGATATCGTAAGCTGTTTCCATTGCAGTGACACTTGTATCGACACATATTGTCATCTCTCTCATTCTCTTTGAAAATAACCGAGACAGTATGTGTTACACACATACACAAACTATGTCTTACTCGTTTAGCTGCAATGTTTCGTAAACTTGTTTATCTGGAGCACAATTATCTGGCAATGCTGCAACGCGATTGTATGATTCAATATAATGGTCCATTGATTATATTTGTTTGCTATCGATGCGTTAATATTACACAAAACACTCTCTCTATACTTATAATACGTATGAAGCACACCCACATAAAAAAGATTACTTGTTGTAACCATTCCTACTATAATATGCAGTACTCAAATGACGGATTCAAATCCACGACCACTAAATCGATAGTCCATACCCTTAACCATTGGACTATCGGCGTGGGTTTGTTAACCTGCGTTATATTGTTTTAAATGCTGTTACCATAACATTTACATTACATCGAAAATATAAATTTTTATTGACTGTAATTAAAAATATGTTTTTATAATAAGTACGTTCGCTTTATCTTGAGGACAGTTGTTAAACTTTGGTGTGGTTATCGTTTGCGCAACAGTTCTCAACCTCCCGAGTTAAGTTTCAATATCTGCATCATAAACATATCCCAGCGGTTGCACAACAAATGTTGTAATATTACTGATATTTTGTTATTTAAGGTTCTCGATTTTAACTGTGTACTTCTGATAAATGTGTATTTAGGTACCTTTGAATAGCAATAACATTATTATTGCTAATCGAAGTAAAGTACGAATATACTACGATAGAAATTACGACTATTTACAATTGTATAAATTAATCAAGAGACACTAGTGATAATTTTTTTGTTTTTGTATTATAAAGTTAACTAACGAGCAAGCTGTCACCTGAATTCGCCGAAACCGACCTCTACCCATAGACATCCGCAATTGCGAATGCGTTGCCAAACTGTCTAATCCCTCTTCGAAGGGCGAATAAAATTAGGCAACTGGAATGCTGAAATGCTTTCATTTGAAGCCTGTCTTCTGTGTGGTCGAGTTGGCCCAAACGTGAAACATGTAGTTGTTGCTGGCGTCTACCACTGCTAAAATACACACACTTTAATGTATACACTGAGTGTACCGTGTCTCTTAGTCTAAGTCTACCATTAGGTCAGCAGTAAATGATAACTCACTTACAGACATGTGAAAGAAAACATTGTCGATAAATTAGAAACTTTTGATCCCTACTCAGTCAGTTTAGCTTAAAATATGTTAGATTCATGTGATATGCGTAAAACATACGTTTAATACCTTTCCTTTTTTTTAATGTTTATTAATATTTTTTTCTAGCGAGATATTACACGAAAAAGCATGAGTGGGTGGCTGTAAATGGAGACATTGGTACTGTCGGCATTTCCCAATATGCACAGGTAAGAGTCAGGCGTACATGTATTCAAAAATTTACAATAAATCCAAAATCCTAGATGTTTTAGAACGCTTATTGACTTTTACTTTGAAAGACAAAACCAGAGAGAAATGAGTAACTTTTAGGAAATGATGACATTCGGAAAAGACTTAAAAGTGCGTAAAGAACAAAAGAAGATATTAATAATAAAGTGCAACTAAAATCAAGTTTAGGATGTGTTCAGATCTGACTAAATGCGTAGTAACGACGCAATCGTCAAATGTGGAAGTACCCTTAGTCTCATGAGTGTGAGGTCAGTAGCATCGGGTTCACTTGTACGAAACACATCAATTGACACAAGGTCCTCTAAACACATCGTTATCTGCAGTCACAGAGGCCGGGTCATTAGTACTTAGCTCGACGATAAGATATTCTTTTGTATTTCTAATGTTTTATTAAGTTAATCTTTTTTTTAATATTTAAATACACATTCTATGTAACCGTCCCGTGTTTTTAGCGAACGTTTGCAAAAGTATTACATCTCCTAAAGCACATACGTAAAAGTACAGTAAGTTCCACGTTACGGCGAATTTCGTCAGACGGAGCACCTGTACAAAACATATTGTTACATCTGTTCTTTCAATGATTATGAAAGATATGAAAATACGTTTTTTGCAAGTGTCATGGCGGTGAAAACTAATTGGCTAAAATACAGATATGTGTAGCAGTGCTGCATCTTTGTCGCAACTCGCGTAAGGTTTCTCTAACTTTACTCTTAGTGGTCTAAACTTCGATGTCAAGTTCATCAATCTGAACTGAACAGATCTTAACTGCAAGTTATTAAATTTCAGGAAGCATTGGGCGAGGTGGTGTTTGTACAACTGCCTGACGTAGGCAAGCAGGTGTCGGCGGGTGAGGAGTGCGGGGCGCTTGAGAGCGTTAAAGCTGCAAGCGAGATATTTTCACCAATATCTGGGACCGTAAGTTCTTAGATGTAACTGGAACTATCTGCCGCACTCAGAGTCTTTTAGTGGACCTAAGAGTACCTAATCGTTGGTATATACGGGTCTTGCTCAGTGACCAATTATCGATTGTGAGTAAAAACATCTTTCGACATTGCAACTCAAATGTATGATAGGTTAAGTATGAAACTTTTAACGAAAATATATATTCATCAATGATGTTCTACCAAGTTAGTTAAACTTTCTTCTAATAAGATCGTTTGATTAAATAATCGTACCTCCGTTCATTTCGTTAGAATTTTAATGACAGTAATGAATCAAAGACGGGGATCAAAGAGACGAATAATAAGTAAAATGCAAACGGCTTAATTTTCCAAAGAAAATCATCATTGTAACATTTTTACAAAGAGAGCAATCTCTCCTGTAATTTGAATATTTGAAAACCTCAAATTATTTAAATTTTTATATGAAAAGTTCGCAATATTTTCACAAAATTAATTAATTGACCAAAAAATCCCTTTATTCAGGTGACAGAGAAGAACGACAAAGCGGAAAGCACGCCATCTTTGATCAACAAGTCATGCTACGAGGACGGTTGGCTATTCCGTCTGAAGCTGGCAGGCACAGAAGAATTAAAGAAATTGATGGATCAGACGGCATATGACAAATATCTACAAGAATCTCATTGATGATTCATCTTGCAACTATTTAACTAGTAACTTTTAATAAAAATTTATACATTTTTTGCCACTCCAGTCATTTATTGGCTTCGTGTGGTTTTTCATGTCAAACCTAAGATAAAGGCCACCTTTAGTGAGCACTGTGAGTGCGGTAATTAGTAGTTATTTTTATTATCAAATCAAAGTACAAAAATTTATATTTATTTTTTACAATAAAAAATGGCTTATTGTTGGTCATTGTGAAAAGAGGTTTAGTAAGAAATATAACTTAATATCTACCTTTTTTGTGTTGTTAATATTTTAAAATAGACAATATTCGTGGTAATTTTTCAGTGTTTTATAAGACCTTTGAAGCCTATTTCTAGCAACATTATACAGAAATAGGCTATAGTTTTGTATTTATATACATATTCTATTACGGAGTGGTCTATGTACATTTGTTTTTTGGTAAGAATTTTCTTTAAAAATGTTCCATGCAATATAAGGTAATTAATATTAGTGGTAAGTTAAAACAATGCAATTTTACTCGTTACTAGTAACCATACAAATCTCATACATGTTTAAAGCTAAGTTGTGAATTTTAAAAATAAATGAGAATCTAATAGTTACATCATTCATCCTTTATTTAAATGTTATTACCAAATTAAAATCGTATTACATTACTTCTTAAATACAGAACAACTTTTGTAAACATATTAAAGTACGAAATTAATTAATTTTAAATTAATTACCCACACCGTTTATTATACGGGACATGATTTGGCACTTTCGACAAAGGAGTATTCTTATTCCGGACGTGCCAAATCAATTGCCAGTTTAACCTGCCAGCCACAAAATGCAGAAAAAAATAATTTTTCGAACCTCTATTATTTAAGTGCCGCAGCGCCTGATATAATCTCAATAAGTTCTCTCGTGATAACAGCCTGTCGGGTCCTATTGTAAAGTAGCGATAGCTTTCTAATCATTTCGTTTGCATTCTTCGTAGCATTATCCATAGCGGACATACGAGATGATTGCTCGGAAGCGGCGCCTTGTTTCAACGCGTAGTACAGTAAGGCAGCGAGCGTCCACTCTGCATAACTTTCGAGTTGATCCTCTTCGATGTCATCGAATGATGTCATTTTTGGTGCCAACTGTTGGTAAAATATTTTTTAGTTATATATTAAACACACAGGCACCGACTCGTTTACTCCCAAGTGGCCTATGATGTAGATGCAGTTTTGCCGCTGGGCGGTGGCGGAATCTGCAATTAGATGCTGTAAATTTGAAGCGGCAACTAATCTTCATTAGGTTGAGTCATTGTAAATGGAGCTTAGATGATAATTAATCGTTTTACATAACTACTTTAGCATCATCTCAGTTGTCCGAGGAGATAAGTCCCACGCTAGGTGCAGAGTACCAGCTCATCGATCATTCGTCATTTCAGTTACTTACCTCAATATTCTTTTTGCTAAATGCCGGTACAATTGTTGTCACATATTTAACAGGCGTGAAGTATTGGTTGTAGTATATTTCAGCTGTGTCGTATGCATAACCGGATTGTGTGATCGCCGTCGCTACAGTTGACGCGTCTTTAAAGATAGGACTTGTGCGCCCAATCTAGAAATATGAAAACTGTTTACGATTTTTTTAGTACACCCTTTATTCAATCAAACTTGAATAAAGTTGTTACCTATGTTGTTATCGTATCGTATTTTTTTAGTACGTAATGTAATTTTTCATAACAGTTTAATAGTTTCGAAGTTTACTTAATGCGACAAATAAATCAGTACAAAACCTTCACCTGTTTAACGGAGACTAGGATAAATTCGCCGTACGCGAGCCTGAGCAACGACCGAGACTTGTCACCTATGCAGACTATCTTATGATGCGGGGCGTCAGCGCTGCGTTCTGCCAGCGTGCGACGAATCATGCGAGCTATACCCGAGTGGACACCACCGCATAAACCTGACAAAAATACAATGTATAAAGAGTCTAAATTTATAACGTAGTAATCTACAATCGCCTGTCCTAGTAAGTGTGCTACGCTTTCGTATCCTTTTAATATGTTTGTTCTTCACAAGGACCTTGCGAGTTTACATAAAGTTTAAGTCCTTCATGGGTTGTAATGGAATATTATATATACATAAATACTACCAAAAATATAATATAAATGCTGTTTTTTTAAAAGCTATGTTGATTCTAACCAAAATATGAAACTGAAAATGTTTTAAAAATAAATTTTGCAACCGTACTTGTCAATATCGTTGCTTATTGGTCAACTGCAAACTAAATTGCGTTAGTTATGAATTGTCGAGAAATTATTAATGAGCGGTTATAGTCGCAATATTAATATTGATTACGCAGTTTATTATGAAATATATAAACCAATTTGCAACATTCACGTTTAATGCGTAAACTGTGACGCATAAATATCGTAAACCAGTTTTTCTTAGTATTTACCAAGCCTCTGACATCTACATATTTCCTTTTTTATTACTCGAGTGATAGTTTGATCTGCGCTTTTACATAAAGGTCTTGAATGTCGTTTTACGTCAAGTACTAAAGTCAAGGATATCTCTAATTACTAAAAAATAAATAAACACCAATGAACGATTGATGTACATGCAACGATCTACTACTACGTTTCTACTACCACAACAACAATTTATAAACATGCTAGCTTTCGCCCGCGACTCCGTCCGCGCGGGTTAAAAAATAGATGTTGGCCGATTCTCAGACCTACTCAATATACTCACAAAATTTCATGAGAATCGGTCAAGTCGTTTCGGAGGAGTATGGGAACGAAAATTGTGACACGAGACTTATTTAGATAAGATAATCATCCCTTTCATTCTTAAAGAAAAAATCAGACAATATATAGTATTATTTAGTAGGTGTTACGGTACAGTATGTAATTGTGGCACTGAAAGCATTTTCTTATGTGTCACTCCGCGCCCCTGATCCAATGATAACCCAGTGAACGATGTCGCGTCAATAAGATATGGTATTGAACACTAATAAAAAATATAACTGCGAATTTTGATACCGGTGTTAAAACATTTTTTTGTCTCTATTTTTCCAAATGTAACGATGACAATTATTCGTCAGTGGAAACCCACGACCATATTAATTTTTCTAAGTACCTTATATCAAAAGCTTATTATGAAATTAAATAATTAGTTCTATACAGTCTAAATATTAAAGAAATGTGTTTTTTTAATAAACTAAAGGTCTTCCCATTGGTCCAAATTCATCCATGATATATAATTAAACATTTTTTTCAATAAAAAGCTATAAGCACTTCTTCTCCACGTTAATTTTAACTATACCAAATTTCTCTTTAATCCGTTGGCGTGATAAGGCATTTTTTTACGAAGAAAGTGATGAAATATGTACATTGTATGAGAAGAAAACTGTTTGTATCAGAATTATCTCGTGTGGAATAATTTTCCTTATACTTCATTTTCCATTTGCAATAAAATGACATCTGAGATTATATAATATACACTCTTGTGACTTTCACCATCTTATGTAATGAAATATCTTTAAATGAGCAATTCTTGTATTTATATATAATTGGAATTCCGAAATCCACTCCAACGATTTTCATAAAATTTACTATATAGGGTGTTTCGGGGGCGATAAATCGATCTAGTTAGGAATCACTTTTAGAAAATGTCATTTTATTCGTGTTTTATCGATAATCAACTTAAACATAAACTTAACTTTTTCTATCGGTAAGATCGAAAAATATTATTCATATTTCATCATTTTATTAGTAATTCGTACTTAAATATAATTTCAAAAAAACACAATTAAAAAAAAATACCGAGTAAAGCTCGGTCATCCAGATACTGTAACATAATAACAGCATTACGTACTTACATCTTGACACTTTTAGTTTTTTTTAAATAAATAGATTATTTTTTTTGGTTTTCGACCGAAGTCTAAATATGATTTTACCGTGGGTTTCTAACAATAAAATCTCTGTATAAAATGTGGTGATCCCACTCATTATCTTTGACAACACAGAGATAACAATATGTTTTCAACGAAGATTATGGAATCAGAAACCCAGGGTTATTGATTTTGGTAACCAACTAATAAAACAAAATCTATTGTTGGCTGAAACTATTTATGTAAGGGGCTTTAATGTTAAGGTAATCAAATAACAAAGATCTCAAGACCAAAATAAAGATTTAAACATTTACTCTATTAAGATAATTACGTTTACACTGATATGAAGAAGTTAGAATAGCAATAAATACTTCTAGAAGATAATAATAAAAGATATATAAATAATTTATATTTGTTCCATTCATAATGACGATAGAACAGACGAATTTACTATGTGGGAATTACCAGTGTTTGTTAAAACGCATATGGGAATTCGCGCGTGCCTCATTCTGAGGTCAAAGGGTCTAATTCGCTAAGATAAATATTATCGCCTTTTAATGGATGGAATATTGATAGATACAATGAACAAACTGTAGTCTGAAGATTAATTAATGTAGTACACGATAGCTTCACACGACTTTCATACACTATGCTCCTGATTTTGGAGTAAATAATATTTTAAATTAGTTTAAATAATCACCCTGTAATTTATACTTATCGAGAATAGAAATAACAATCAATCTGTCCTACATCATCGGATACGAAGGTTTAGATCCAATGGATAGAATTCTTAGCCAATGTATGAACTTTACTTAGTACTTGATATGTTCTGCGGTATGCCGAGAAGGTTGTGAACCTTTTAACATTTTTTTTTTTCAATTTATAAAAAAAAATAGAACAATGATATAATGTTTATTGATTAGATATTGTATCATTGCATTGAATGTTGGCTCCATCTATCAATAAATATCAAAAATAATTTCGCTTTAGATTTAAAAAAATAGTACAAGAATTTGTCTATGGAAGTCATACATACCTCTATCAGAAGTTACTGCTACATAAATAATGCGAGCTTTCTTGACATCTTCCTTCTTAACATCTGGTGGTTGAGCTGGTTCTTGTTCTGCTTCTTTCTTTTTATCCTTATCAAGAGCTTCCTTCTGCAGTTGACTTGACACATAGAACTTGCGAGGCCCGTAGCCGAATGCACGTGCTGATTGCAACTCACGTTCCGCTTTTGTAAATCTTAGAATAATAAAAGTGCAATTATCATTTTTAGAAATTGTTGTATTTTATTTCATAGGTTTAGGATTTCATAAGACAATGGAAACGAACATAAAACTAAGCTTAATAAATTGAAATATTTACTTGCTGGCAGATACCATCTTCATTGTTTTAGTGATCTTCTGTATATTGTGGATTGATTTTAATCTCATTGAGACCTGCTTTAGTTGCACCATTATTATTATCGAGAGCACTCCTTATGACAAATAACGGGAAATAACATTTATTATTGCTGTCAAATTGATTAATCAAATGCAACCTTTTCGACGACTAACAAAAGAGGTTTATGACTAAAAGATTGTAAATAATTAGTTCTTACTCTATGGTTTATTGGAAAAAAGTATACTGAAGCTTTTAAAATCATATAAATAACACATAAATAATTAACTTAATACTTATATTAATTGAAGAAGATATAATACTTAGTATTCAATAAAATATTAAGTATCATTTTAATTCTTAGCAATTTCCAACAATCTAATATCAAACGTAGAAATAAATGCGCAAATAAGCTGATGTAATAGACATCTAATTTAAATCACCGAAAACCATCGCAATTGTTAAAACGTAATAAGAGTTCTAGGTCAAAATAAAAATTAAAGTTCAATTGAACTGTGTCACAAAGAATTCATGTCAGTATATAGATAGACGACCGTATCTGGGACTTGTTCAAGGATCAATGTTTACTAACATCGAGAAATCCCCAGATGGAAAACAATGCTACGTCACTCGACGTATTGAAACAACCTCAGGGCACATTGACATGCAGTTACATACATACATATTATTATGTAATACAAAAGATACCATTGAAATAAGACGCTAAATTCATTGAACAGTTATAACTGAATGAATGTCTTGTAATTTCTTGTTAATAGTAAGTATATAATAATATAAGTATAACCTTAGAAATATATTTTTATAATTCTATCACATTTACGTATGTTATATGACACGATATTTTATTTTTTATCACCACCAATTATTGACTGTTATTTTTTTGAGGGTTTAAAGTTGGTAAAGTTGTGAGTTGTTATTAATTATGTAATTAATATTGATTAAATTATTTATGTAAATACATAAAGCTATGTCATGACGGTGTGTACTGCATTGAGTAATGTTAGAATCACAGTGTAATTAAGTTTACTAAACTCTGTCGTTGCTTGCAAATTATTAAACTACATTATTTACATTCTCATTGTTATTATAAAAAATCTCGTCCGACCTTCGAATTCACTAACGCCAGTAAAAAAACTTAACATGTAACTCGAACGGTTTATTGCATCGAGTGGCCTTTTATCAAGATCCTGGATATACAAAATTATTCACATTTGGAGAAGGTAACATCATCATAGTTTGAATACATCTTTCTAGAAAAATTAAGAATCCTCTAAATATTATGACACCTTTTTATTATTTTTGTATTATTTATGAACAATAAAAATAACAATAATCAAAAATGTTTTAATTAATACAACCAATAAATTGCGTTAATGAAATTAATTTACTTTTTAGTTAGATCTCCGTAATCGTAACGAGTCAGTTTATTTTTATTTTCATTCCAATCAAATTATTTTCCCCCGTAAGTATTCTTAGACATATTAATTTTCTTTTCGTGTATCAAATTGCTTTTCGAAGTGTAAAGCTACACTAGGGCAGGCCACAATACCACATCCATTTACTTATCAATTACATCATCGTCAGAGTAAAGCATAAAAGCGCTCCGATCGACGCTTGCGTTTAAATCAGCAGTAGACACCGCGCCGTGATAACACGTATCTTTTGCTAAGTTTTCATCACCGAAGATGATGGGAGTACAAGTTGTTGGCAGAAAGGAGCAGCAGATATCTGGTTCACCGCCGGATAAGGTGATTAAATACTTTATACATCATACCGGACGTTAAGGTCTATAAGGAGGTCTATAAGGATAGACAGATAAACCTACATGACCATACTTGAAACTAAATTCCAATAGCTCATTGGCGCCCTCCTCTTTATTAAAAAATTCTCTACATGATCCTTGTACTACATCTGTTTTGTATGTCCTTTTCTATGCCTATAGTCTAATAAGAATAGCTGACCCGGCGAAACAAGCGCTGCTATTGCTGTTTGTTTTTAGAAAATATGGAAGGAGGAGGGCGCTAGTGTGCTATCATAATTTTGTTTAATTTTGTGTGCTTAACCTCGCGGTTGTGACAAGGGCTAATATCGCTATTAGCCCTTGTCACAACGATCCAGTTAAATTTGTCTGACTATATGTTACCTTGTTTAGCAAAGCTGTTTTTTCTCGTTTTAATTTCCGCGTCACTACGCTACAGGAATGCCGATTTGCGAATTTTATTACTCTTTAATTACCCAGTAGTATTTTATTTTTTGTTGTATGTTGAACATAACCTTAAATTATTTTGTGTAAAATAAACGTGGACTTCCACTGCATAAACCTCAATGTGGAAGTCATTGATTTGAAAAATATGTCAAAAAGATATTTTTGAAATTTTTTTTTTGGCAGTGGAATCCCATATTGTTAATAGCAATAACAAATATTTGCAATGTTTACAAAACAATAGAATACTTAATTATGTTTATTTATCTAATATTCCAAAATACCGTGTAAATTATTAAATACATTTCAGTATAACTTTTTAGTAGGTACCAAATTAAAAAAAAATCAGCAAGCAGCTTAGAGTAGCTTTTCGAGTAGTTAGTACTATATCAATATTGGTAGACAAAATAAATTCTGCCACATTTAATGTTGATTTTTCGTACTTAATCCAGATTAAGCGTACCCTATTAAAATATCTCCTGCTGTCGCTCTGTGGCATTTTAAGGGATAAAAATTAAACTTTAAAACCATATAATGATAACTTAGACGTAACTCGTCTTATCAATTTCCAGTAGCTTGTTCTATCACTGTCGAAGCTCATAAAATTTTATAGTTCTCCTATCTCCTAAATAATGTTGTTTTAATAATTAGTTATGTAATACATTCGTTGCCTTATCGAATTGTTTAAGTTTATAAACATTACAAATCTTATAACGTTATCAAAATACCAAAATATGACAACGATTTTTTTAAACATTAAACATTATTATGAATAAGTAAAACATCTTTTTTTTAGCTTAAAATAGCTTTCACTTCGCCTAATAATATACCATTACCATGTTGGACAAAAAATGTATATCAACATAGATTCATAATTGTTCAAACGCGATTAGGAGAAAATGAAATAGACTAGCAAATATTTTGCTTAACCTCGCTACACACTTTCAGTTTTAACTGCACAGTTTTAATTCTACAGTGAAACTGTACAGATAAAATTGACGGTGTGAAGCAAGCTTAAGTGAAACCTTATTATATTCTATTAATTCTAAGTAATCGATTACTTATGTTCAACTAGTGCGTCGACATCTTGTATTGTCGGGGTTATCGATTTAACTCTGTAACCCTTCTGCTGCTAAATGGGACACACGATATCTCTCGCTAAATAACCACGAGTATCATCTTGTGACGTCACTATTGTGTAATATCCTTGACGTACAAAATTAGGTTACTGCGAGAAATCGCGAAAAGTCAGAGGTTGTTTCTAAATTACGAAGGCGATAAAAAGATAATTTATTTGCTTATCATGAGCAATTAAATCTCAAGTTAATCAACAAAAAGCAGCAAACTTTAACAAATAGAGAAGTCAAAATTAAATGTGGTATTATATTTTTTATTTTTTTAAATTGCAGCCGAAACTTATGCATGGCGGTAACTATATCAAAGAAGGAAGAGATTCTTCGAAGTCTACTTGGCTGCTATTCTCTCCGGAAAGAGACGAGGCAGGCTCCCTGGCGCGGTTCTTAAACATCTTCTCCACCCATGGTGTCAACCTCAGTCATATAGAGTCCAGGTCTTCAGCCAGACGTCCAGGCTACGAATTCATGGTTGAATGCGAACATGGTGCTGGCGACTTCGGTGCTGCTTTGGAAGATTTGAAGAAAAACGTAGGATATCTGAACATAATCTCAAGAAATTACAAGGACAATAGATGTAGGTGTCTTGTAACTATTGATTAATTTCGAATATACACTTACATATATGTTTTACATACAGATCTTTATTTGCAAGGTGCTGTGCCGTGGTTCCCGAGAAGGATACGTGATCTTGATCGATTCGCTAACCAGATCTTATCATACGGAGCGGAATTGGACTCAGATCATCCAGGCTTCACTGACCCAGTATACCGAGCGCGCAGGAAGTACTTCGCGGACATCGCTTATGAATACAAGCATGGTCAACCACTACCACACGTTAACTACACCAAAGAGGAGATTGGCACTTGGGGAGTAGTGTTTAGGAAACTCGTAGAACTGTATCCTACTCATGCTTGTAAAGAACATAACCATGTTTTCCCATTATTGATTGAGAATTGCGGATACAGGGAGGACAACATTCCTCAGCTGGAAGATGTTTCTAATTTCTTAAAAGGCAAGTTATTTACAAAACTATTTCAAACTCCAAGATTCGGTCGATAGTTTAGATACTACGATAATGGTATTTATGTTGATAAGATCAAATATACAATGTTCATTACTCTAAACTACTTATTTAATGATATCAAATAGTAAACAGATAATGTAGTCGTCTTGGTACATAAAAATATGGATAAAAACAAAAGGTGGTGTAGTAACTAAAAATATAACTTGTTTATTTTTCAGACTGTACCGGTTTTACACTGCGGCCAGTAGCAGGTCTGCTGTCTTCACGCGATTTTCTCGCGGGGCTCGCGTTCCGCGTGTTCCACAGCACGCAGTACATCCGACACCACTCTAAGCCGCTGTACACACCGGAACCCGATGTGTGTCATGAGTTACTCGGACACGCACCACTATTCGCAGATCCCGCCTTCGCTCAGTTCTCACAGGAGATCGGCTTAGCCTCACTCGGCGCACCCGATGATTACATTGAAAAATTGGCAACGGTAAATTTTAGGTTTTGTGTATTTTTCCTGTTGAATATTTAATACTGAAAGAAGTAATATTTTTTTACTTTCTTTACAGTGCTTCTGGTTCACAGTAGAATTTGGATTATGTCGACAAGAAGGTAACATAAAGGCATTCGGTGCTGGTCTTCTATCGTCGTTCGGAGAGCTCCAATACTGTCTGTCAGATGAGCCTGAATTAAGGGAGTTTGAACCAGAGCTGACAGGAGAACAGAAATATCCAATTACGGAGTACCAACCCATTTACTACGTGGCTGAGAGCTTCGAAAGTGCAAAGGACAAGATGATGTATGTATTTAATTAAATCCGCATATTTATATATCAGATTATAAATGTATATTCTTGCTACTCGTTGCAATTAAAGTTGACAATTCAATGTATGCATTTTAGAATGATGTTATTGTATTTACATTTTAATATATTTCAAGTAATTCGGATTGTTAATCGAAATATATGTTTTCAGAAAATTCGCTCAAACTATACCACGTGACTTCGGAGTGAGGTACAACCCTTACACTCAAAGTATCGATATTCTCGATTCTCCGAAACAGATGAAAGATCTCCTCAAAGAAGTGCACCAGGAAATGGGTCTATTACTCAATACTATGGATAAATTGTAGTGTATTTTATATATAAAATATGTATAATAGCTTTAAATACCTTACTTTAATGCTTTATCTTTATGATTTTCACTTTTGCTGGACAAAGTGAATGGTATGTTTAATGTAGTTTTAACAAAATTATATTTTATTTTTTAATAAAACATATAAATGTATAAAAATCTTTATTGATATTAATCTATAGAGTTTAAGTTAACTTTAGTTCTATGTAGGATATTCGAACTGAATATATTAATATCGATATTTAAACCGAAAACATTTATGACAGCCCTATTTTCTCTGTTAGAAGTCTTTTATTAATTGTTCGAGATTTATGCACGTACCTAAAGTTATTTTACGACTGAGAAATATTTCTCGACACAGAAACTATTGTTATACAACAGGATAATAAATTATGGTTTAATATTTCAATTGTTTTATTGTATTCTTGCTATCGCAGTATTATTTGTTTGAAAACAAAATAATGAGTACCTAATGTTAGTCGCCATCTTTTATTATCAAACTAACGGTCGCCTTCTTTTACTACTTACGTTTCAATATAATTCTATGTTTGTCAATGATTGAGCGAATTAATTGTTTTTATTGCAAACAAATGCCAAAAGAATATTCAATCATTTTCAATTATAAATAAAACTGCTCTCATAATATAACCAACATAATATATTTATTAATTTGTACAGAAAAGCCAAAGATCTAATATACTAATAGACCGAAGAAAACATATAACTTTATCATTGTTGTTAACCGTTTTACAAAGTTCAAAGTAATATGTCAACCAATCTGTTAGTATTAATAAATCTATGGTATAAATTAAGTACCTAGTACTTGTCTAAATCTAATTACATCTAGGTAATGACAAGATAATGAAATAACTTATTATATAAACACGACAAAGACGCAATGCGTAATTTACATAAGTATATGGGAAATATTAAATGTATACTAGGAGGCTTTTAAGGCTTTGTTATATAGCCTTTATATTTATGGGGATTTACATTGATATATCGACAGTCCTTATTTAAACTTAAGTAACTGCTAAAGACAAATTTTATAATACAAGAGAGCGCATTAAACATTTAAACATTATATATTTCCAGTTTTATATATGGTTAGGATCTAGTTATCTATCTAACCGTCTTCAAGATAAATTGCGTGTTAACCATATAAATAATAATGAAGGTAAAAGCAATCCGTAATAAGTTATAAGATTTTCTATTGTTACTTTTGAATTATACGAAATTCGTAACAAAAATATTAGTGTTACAAATTATTATATATTTACATAAATATTATAAGAAATGTTTAAAAAAAATCGATGAAATTATAGGTTTACTACAATGGATTTTTGTCATTGGGACGATTGGCCTTCCTATCCCGGCCCAACAGGAATTTTTGTCCCATTGAGCCGGTCGTGTCTATAGTCCCGTTGAGCCGATCGGCCTATCAAAACACTCGTAACAATATTTATCCTGTTCACAATTTTACACGAAACATCGCCATCTATAAATCTAGGTAGACTGAACTAATTTTACTTAATGTAGGCATATAAATAAACCTGACTTAATTTATTTTTACTTATAAAATTATATTTCAGTAAAAATGTTAGGTAACTGCGCCAAAGATGTAACCAATTTACGCAGTACCGGTGTGAATTAAAATAATATATAATAAATACATAAATAATTCTCGGTAAAAATTAAACAGCAAAAGTAATTATATCACAGTTACTAGACATAAATAAATAAATATATTTTTTACAATAACACTGAGAGTAAAAATTCCTTAATTTAAATAATATAATGAATATATTTCTATAATTTACATGACAAATAAAAACTAAAGTTATATATCAAGGAATAAATTACACTAACCATTTTTACAAGATTCGTCAATATCGTAGAAATATATATATTAAAAAAAATGTGTTGTCTGCATTTATTGTTGATCGAATGAACAAGATCTATGTTCAATTATTCAACAATGTATAATAATAAGTCAATTACAATAACTCTTCGATACAATGTTGTATGAATTATGAGCAAACTGTAGTCAATAATACGATAAAGTATTTATCTATCAGCAAATATATTAATTTATATTATGTAAACATTTACAAACTTTTGATGTATATACACTTCGAAATATACGAAGGCAATAAACACAACCGAACAAAATCTATGTTATTCGACAAGAATAACTTTTGAGAAGCACTAATTCTTTATTTTATTAATCTGTCGACGTTAACATCGCACTGTGGTTTTCCACTTTCGAAATACTTGCTTAAAACATATAGTCATCCCGCTCTTTTTTACTTTGTACAAACAAAGGCAACTGTATGTTTTAATATGAGTTTTTCAGAAGAAGAAAATTTACAGTAAATCAATTTTAAGATCCTTATCAATCGGAATATAAGCTTAGTTCAATAGTTTCCCATTTAACAATTAGTTTTTCCATAATATCTGAACTACACGTAAAGCTGATATAGAATTATTAAGACCTACATATTCTTTGAATATCTACGGGGATACCGCTGGCGATAAGCCGTCGAGGTGCTCCTGCGGGAACTACAAGCGATGGACTGACTGGGGACGGCGCAGAGCAGGCGACTTTTACGATCTCTCATGTCGAAGAGCAACACCAACTTTGAATCGTTGCGCCAGCGGTGTATCGACAGGAATAACGCCGAGAAGCTTCGTTTAGTTTAGAATATTCAAACTTCACTCTGCATGCAATGGATAGACGAATCTTCGGAGAGCTCATCCATTGAAGAGTCCGTGAAAGAAGTGCCGTCTGGAAAATTGTAATTAAATGCTATAGTTAGGTTCATTCATTAATATATTTTTTATTATATACTAAAATAAGGTGTAATGAAACCGACTATTGCGGTATTATTAGGACCAAAACAGTGTTCGAGATTGCTTGGATTTTGTATTTGTTTCTGCCATTTTTAGGGTACTGTACCTCATAAAAAAAATGGAACTTTGTTGTCCGTCCGTCTGTCAAGATCCTTTTTTAAATTTTTTTAATGACAAAGATAAGTAATCGATATGATTATTTAATATAAGATTCTCAATCTAACTTCATTTTTTGAACTACGATGCATAGAATTTGTAGTAACTGTAAGTAAATCTATGGGAATTAAAACTAAACAATATTTCTATGTTGACTTTTACAGAATAACTGTTGAAAAGTTTACTGAAAGTGACACTGGTATACTCGTACATTTCTGCCAGTAACAACTTACCTATTGGGACAAACGGCGGTTTGTTCTGGAAAGAATACGTGAGGTGGAGGTTGATGGGCCGCCCAAACCCCGCCGGATCTGCATCTCGGGACATCACTGCAAATATTTTATAACAATTTCACCACAAGGAATTTAATATACGGATACATTATTTCGCTTCGCGTAATACGTTCGCACAAACGCATCAGAATGACTTGCACAATAATATATTATGTAACTTCGCATTAAACTGATAAAACATTTGAATACTGACGTTGATTTTGTTTTCCTTTTCCCGTGTGTTGGTGTTTCTTCTGTCTCGCTCGACTGTTCTGAAACCAGACTTGTGTCACTCTCTTGCTCAGTCCTGTGACCTGTGCAATCCTTTCCAGATCTTGACCGTCTGGATTCGAGTCTAATTGAAAGTTTGCCTGGAGAACTTGTAGCTGTTCCTCTGTGAATGTCGTCCGCACTCGCTTAGCCTTACTTTTGTGGTAACCTTCTGAATCACAGCCATCTATAAAGTTTAAGGTAAAATTGTTTATTTTTTTTTCTTGATTCCAGAAGCAAAGCTTATCGAGTTGAAAGTTAAGTTGTCCCTTAGTGTAGATTTAATGAGAAATATAAGACAAACTAAAGTCCCTTCACGACCAATGACAACCCTGAGTGTGATGGTAAATATACCAAAGTAATCTTTGTGTCCTAAAATAAGCTACGGTAAAAATTAAGTTGAAATTACCGTCAGAAGAAATAGAGCCACCATCAAGAGTTTCAAGGTAATGTGGCTTGCAGAGTACTCTGTCTTCATGTAGTGCGAACTGTTCCCCCGTGGACAGTTGACGGCCACACGCGTCGCAGGCGAAGCAAGCGAGGTGGTAGATTTGCTCCCGAGCCTTCCGCACCCAGTCCGACGAAGATATACCACGACAACACTTCGAGCATTTAGCACCGAACGTCCTGAGAACAACGAGCCTCCCGTTAAGTTAGAAAACAGGCGAGTTAAATTAACACAAAAATTGTATAATAAACCAAGTAAACACCGTTGATATAATAGAACTAAGAGTCGCCATACAAGGACAGGCTCAAGCATTCGATGACATTTTTTCAATTGTTTGAATACTCAAGCAAAATATTCAAGGATTTGAAAGCATGTCCGTGTGCGGCGGCTCTTAAAATAAACTATTAAAATATAATATCAAAACTCGCATTAGCAATAATTAAAATAATCCAATACATGTTTTCGCGCAGCACATCGCATTGACTTAATGAGAAATTGAAAAGCTTACTTTACAACCGTTTCTTACAGATGTTATTATAATCTAGTTAATTAAAATAATATAAGATTATCCAGTGTCGCTTCCAATTAATATTTGAATCCTAAAAGCAATTAGTATGAAATTGTTATGCAAATTGAAATTAATACATGTTATTTCCTTTATAGTTTAGTATAAATGTTTATGTAGCTATTAGTACTACACTAATTATGAAGACAGATTTCTAAGGATAACCAATAAATAAAAATATTATAATTTAAAGTTTAATGTAAATTGATTTGCAGCTTTTATAACTCTTTCATTCCCAATTTTAAGACACATAAAAAAAAAGTAAAAATGCTTCTTCACATTATTTGTTTTCCATTCTTATTAGGTTCTTAGATTCCATATGACAGATCTTAAAAACGCACTAAAAGAAGAATCGAGAGAAAAAAGAAAAAGTTACACAAATCAATAAACTTTAAAGTTAATTTAACACTCAATTATTGTCGGTGGAGATTTATATTGTGAACATGGCTCTGACGTCGCCGCAGCATCCGTACTACAGATACACTGCGGGATAAGTTGCATTAAAAAAGGTACAGTGAATGCTTACAAGCGGCCAGCTCGGCAGCGATGCGGCGGCGGTTAGGCGGCGCGTTTATCGCTACATTGGCTCATTACCATTCCGCGGACCCTTAATATTTAATTAATTAAATAAACTCGTGCAACACTCCATTAACACGGTATCATATCGCTGCCGACGTTAAAATGTCTTGTTTGTTTTTGTTTGAAGATTCAAAGGGCACTTTGCACAGGATCCACGAATGAAGATACGCTAAGACCGTTCGGTTATTCCTTGGTTATTATAATAAATACCTATTTACTATTTCCTTGGTAAACCGTTACATTATTAACAAGATTTCATCAAAATAAGTTGTTTAAGTGAATATAAAAAAAGCTAAGTTAGAGATTTGTGCATTAATTAATATCTTAATATTACCTGGTAGCGTGAGTTTCCACTGCCGAAATTCATCTTGAAAGTCTTGTCATCCTTCTCATTGTTTTTGAAAAACAGAAGTAAGATTGTGTTTCGTTATATGTTTTCAGCAGTGGAAACTGCCGTTATAATATTTGCACGTTCTTTATTTATTAATTAAGAATTAGTAACTCTAATCAACGCGCAGTTCTAACGGAATGCTCAAGTATCTCGTCTCACCAACAAAGCGGATTGTCGGAATGTTTATTCTCGTACGTTCAATTAAAAAGGAATGATATTCATAAGAAACAATTTCACGTTCACTCGTCATTTTGATCGTTTAGTCGGTCCGCTTAATTCCTTTACAATACCCTGCCCGCGTCCAATTAACCTTCGACGTATTAAAAATATTCACAGTCATAGTCATTTTCCTAAGTCATTCGTGGTTGTACTATGCGACCGAATTGAAGAGTACACTCATTAGAATACTATCGATAGTTTGGAATGTCGTACTCGAATTGGTAGTGTAGCTATTGGTATGTTTGGTAGAATGTTGGTAGGGTAGGCGGGCCGGTGTGTAGTGACCTACGACCCGCGCGCTGTGTGGCCAGAAAGCATACAATTTGCGTCATCTCGGCGTTCAGATTCAATCGACACACCATCTTTGATTTGATATCTATGATATCTACACCATATTACATTCTTACGCAGAAAATTCACGAGCTTTATGAGTAAAATGTATTCTTGTGCACTGTTCATTCATAAATATAGTCCAGAAATTTCATGCCGATTAAATATCTCAATTGCTACTTAAATTAAATACTAGAAAAATCTGCAAAAAAAAAATAATTTTGGAGTATTTATGTTGTCTTATGAAGATTTATAGTGGTATTTTATTTTAATTTCACATATTTAACATGTTAACTTTAAATAGTTGATAATAATAGATCCGTGAGAAAGGGACTCGATGATCGATATAAAAAAGAGGCCAATGTCCCGAGAGCGGTATTATTGAAAACCACTGCTCGAGTGTGGCCACAACAAAGCGACAAGAACGTTGCCAGTCGAAAAAAATATAGGTGAGCCATGTGCGCTCCGTGACTTGCAACACTGACATTTTCATTTGTCATTTATTTTGATTGTGATAAGTTGGTGCGACGCGAGACGATATGTTTTAATCGGAACGAAGCTATGTGGACCGGAGAACAGGCAGATGCGCCCACCTTGCATGCCTGCATGGGATATTAAGAAAAATGTGAACTTAATATTATTTTAATTAAATTTACGAAAACTAGAAGGAACTCTGTTGTTCAGAAAACAATCAGCTTTTTTACACATGTTAAACAATGTTAGTTAAGCTTTCTTAATGAACATGGCGTTATCTTAATGCAGTGTTTAATTTTAGATGAATTAGTTTATGTTCCATCAATCGTATTTCAATAACTTTATACAAATATTTATTTCATTTAAATTATTTCAATGATTGTTTGCGTTTGAATGTAATGTTGCCATTTTAATAAGCGGCCGGGCTAAGGATCATATTTTAAATAACGTTTGTTTGGTGTGGATAACGAGTGGTGTTGCCAGGTACGTAAATTGACAGTCGCCGCCGGCGTTGTACGTAATTGCTTTTGTTGATATATCATCTGTTCATTGTTTATTTAGTGCGTCGTTTTGACTGGGAGCCGGAGAGCCGCCACGCGACCGCCCCTTTTGTTTCAGACAGGATGTTTGAGTGTTGCCACTACTCAAATTAAAGTCAACTGTTTCATACAATGATAGACTTTTTAACTGAACTTTTTATTTTAAGCTTTTGTTATGGCAACATAAGTTTTTTTAATCTTTGTTGTATTTTAATTTTATAATCTTACTCGATTTTTTAATAAAGTAACCATTCCTAACTGACGTTAAAAAATCAATTTATTAATGGGAATTAATTTTATTGTCATACCTTCTATTTATTTAAAGTTTACGATTGTTTTTTTTTGGTCTGGGGATGATAATTTTTTTCATATTTATAATACAAACAAGATTAATGTATGTACTTGTTAATAATAATTAAAAATATATTCTTAAACTACGGTCACATAATAATCTCCACTTTTTTCAGTTATCTTAGTTGAAAGGTTTATTAATGGTATTGTTTAGTTAAGTTTCAGATAAGGCTTGTTTTATTGCTGAAGTATGAAATTGGAGTCAATATCCGAATCTGGTATCTGGAGGCTCTCACGCGATGTTGCGCCCACACCGTCCTCCCGCAAATGCGAGCGCCATGTCTTATGTAAATGCACCATGTCGCCCCTGAGTTTAATTAATCTCTAGTCACATAAATAAACCTTCCTTTAATCGATTCACTCTGAATATTAAACAATGAGGATACGATACAAAACACAATCATAACACAACTTAGACATGTTCCTAAATGAAATGTATGCGATTTACATAGAGACAAACATTTCTTCTGCAATTAAATTAAATAGGAATGTTACCCTTACACTGATAATGTTGGTAGGATAGCAACAACTATTTTAACTGTTCTAAAATGTCTTAAATAAATAAACAAATCAATTAGCATAATAGCTAATAGAAATTTAATAATTATCCTTTCTAATAATTGTCAAAGTAATGATATCGTGGTAAAGGCGTGTTATTAAAAGCTCGAGACGATTAAGCGCTGCTTTATCATTGAAATAAATAAATTCGAAATTCAAACACACAGTAATAAATGTATCATAAGTATTTATGTAACTTAGTCGAATAAAAAATCAGGAAAACTGGCAAGATGTAATCACTTTAAAACTACGGTAAAAAAAACAACTACTCGTTAAAATTATCAACAACAAAGAAGTCGTACAACTTCAATAACTCAATAAGCGAAAAGTAATTAAACTTCGTGCGTCGAGCTATCAGTCACGGCCAAACGGTATTATTGTGGTCGCTCTCGATTCATACAAGCGTAGCCCCCGGCGTCGCCCGGTGCCACGAACAAACGCGCATAATATACCAATGTATCTTAGATTGGGTTTTGTATCTAAAACAAATAATTTAAATCATGTCATCGAGTTAATGGGCCGGCATGGTACTCGATAGTGGGGGGACGGAGGGGGAAGTAAGACTAATCAACGAGTGTGGATTTACGAGCCTAGCCGCCGGCACATTCAAATACTTTCGGCCTCACAAAACTCTCCATGTTATTTATTATATATATTTCTCATTTTCTTACTCAATTTCTCATTTAGTTATTTTATGACAAAGTGTTAATAGATGTCAGATTACAGTAAAATAAGTCTGCGGCGGCATATGTGCTTTCTTCTAACTCAAAAAGTAAAGGCTTTGTTGCACTGCCAATAAACAAATGTAACAATGAATTTCGTCTTCGAACAAAGGCGGACAAATTGATGAAGTTTGTAAATTAGTAGAATGTGCAAAATAATAAGGGAAATCACAATCAAAATGTAAGAACGAAATAACATGTTTATTATGTATAATATAAATACACCGTATTGTTTTCTTTGGCGAAACGTTTTTTGAAATGTTAATAAACTTTGTAATTGCAGTGTACAAGGAGTGTCGAGCACACAAGTGCATTTGTATGTTAGTAAACGGGTAGTGGATAGCGGTGGTAGCGGCTAGTAGCCGGTAGCCGGTAGCCGGCGGACCACCGCCCGTAAAGCGCATCTCCCGTTGTTTATCTCCGGCCACTACGCGACATCTTCATTACCGCCGAGTGTTAAAACTTGTTGATCTGTCACTTTGTTAATTACTATGCGAGGCTCGCCTTTAATTGATTCAAGCGGCGACAAAATGTTAATAAGTAGTGATAAAGGGCGATGGCGCGGCCCCGCGCCTGCTACCATACGATTTTGAAATGCAAATTGTGCTTTTGAAACATTGCTGTGGATAACACCGATAAGCTGGACGAGGCAAATTAATATCGAATGCTCATGCGATTCTCAGCTTTATTCAACGTACTTACAATACTATATATTGTGAATGTCCTGTGGCGCAGTTGACTACTGTTGTCGGGTATTAAGTGCATCTGTTAGTCTCGGTGGATGTTTCGATTCTTTTTGAGAATGCAATAAATTTATATGACTTGTATTATCGATTAAAACGTACGTACATTATATCTAAATAGACATATTAAATCTTAAGTTTTTAGCAATGATAAAGGGAATAAGTTGCCTTAATAATACTTACTATGCCATGCATAGAAAAGGAAAGGAAGATAAACTTTAAAACGCTTAAAATTAAGAAACAAAATAAACGCTGCAAAAACATTCCATTACACACTTAACGGTTCATAAAATGTTTACAAAGATTAGGTACAAGTTATACAAAAGTATAAAATGTGATGATTAAAAGTGAGCAAAGCGTAAGAGCGTGAGATGACGTAGACTTACTTCACGTAGTCCTGTTTGCAGTAGACCTGCCTGTCGCGCAGGAAGCAGGAGGGGTGTCTGTCGAGCTGGACGGCACAGACGCAGCAACGCAGGCAGCCCGTGTGCCAGGTGCCGCCGCCCACCTCCAGCAGGAAGCGGTCCGCGATCGCCTCGCCGCACGCGCAGCACGTGTGGTGCTCCGTCTGGAACAACACAACAATAAATCACTAACATTCCAGACTAACTTAGAGCTAAGACTAATGGACAGCTGAAAACATTAGCAACAGCAGTTCCAAGCAGTAGGTGTGTTGAAAAGGCACATTGCTTTAAGCAGCTGCTGTCGACTGCTTGAAAGTCTGTGGCCGTCACAAAGACCGCAGTTTACAGCATCATAAGAGCTTGCGATCAATAGAAACTAAAACACAACACAACAAACATAATAATTGATTATATTGTTTTTCTTATTAAGAAGTATAAAATAATGATATAAGCAAAAAAGTAATGAGATTGAATGTGGATGGCTACAAGGGTAGAGGAAGACCAAAAAAAGTATGGAATGACTGTGTGAAAGAGGATATGCGTAAGAAGGGGGTAGACTCGGATATGACGGCTGATAGAGATGTATGGAGGAGTAGTACATGCTGTGCCGACCCTCGATAGGGATAAGGGCAGGTTGATGATGATTGTTTTTCTTATTAAGAGTTCTATAAGACATTAAATTCCCAAATAACATAATCTTATCTACTAATAGGATGTTAAATAATAAAGAGTTAAAAATATAGAGTCTGCCATGTTGAACGTAAAGTTAATTATTTCTTTTATTTTCGTTTATCCATTAAAGGGATCACGTAACTTGTATTCTAATTTTAAATCCGTAACCTCGTAATTTCTCGCAAACATAAAACATGCTTAATATTTTTATATCTTACTGCCGCACCCAGAATCGTTAATAGATCACTGATAGAGTAATTTAGAATAGATTTCTAGGATATCTTTATTTTTCTAGCAAAGAATCTGAGTGTGATAGTTAGAGAGCAAAATATATTTCTGCCAAGCTAATGTCGGAACATTAAGTCAAATTTTATGTCATCTAGTCATTTCTTCGACTAGTCGAACTGATAATTTATCCAATCAAACTTCTCAGTGCAAATTATTAGTAAACAGTTAAAATATTCAATAAAGTAAAATTAAAACCGATTTAAACGCAAATGCCACAAACAATTCTGCCAAATATAATAAGTACAACAATAATTTTGTATCGGTACATGTGTTTGACAAAGCCGTGCCTACTATTTATTTGATTTGTTTGTCACACAGTCGACGAGATAAAGGGGGTGTGTGCGGGGCAAGGAGGGGGGGGGGCAAATAATCTAATAGAGCCGTTGCACAAATAGAACACCCCCTTTGATTCGCGCGCGGTAATCAAACGTTGGCCAAATTGATTTAGTCAAATATTTGTGACGTGACTTAAATGAATAACAATTTGTTTTTAGTAATATAACACATGGCGATTGCAAACTATAAAGAGTTAGGAAGCATTTTATATAAAATAAAAATAATCATCCATATTTTCCTGGTAAAATATTATGTAAGTTAAAGAAACGAATGTACACTTTGATTAGTAAAAAGATTTGTTTTTGGTACATGTGCATTACACACATGCTCTGCGTCACTTTGTTACTGAATTCAAAAAGGAGGATAGAGGTTCTTAATTTGTTTGTATGTTTATTTTATACTAAACTATTGCAATCAAATGATTTCCTAATCTTAAACGAGCGCGTGCAAAATGTATTTAATACTACAATACTGATGCGGTTGATAAAATTTCAAATTCAGAAATGAAATGAAATTGGTTGTTAACATAAAAATGTCGATAATAATCTATCAAAACATAAATAAATGTGCAAGGAGTATATCATTTCACGATCAATAGCTTTCGACTTCATAGTCGTGCTATAAATCTGTTCTCCGTCCCCTGTAACAACCGCGACGCATTCACACAAGCACCGGGCTACAACACAATAAGGGGTAATGTTAAACTTTACAGCGACACCCCTAAAACAAATTTACACCGTTTTGTACGCAATAAATACAAGAAGAACAGCCGTCCAGTAACCGCATCTGTAACTCCCCACCATTCACCGGCATTCAGCAGGGGTATGCCATCAAGAATGATGTCACAAATTTTAAAGTGTCATAACCTCAGGTAATATCAAAGAAATCGACTTTGAAACAAGCATTTTTTTTTTGGTTGCGAAAATAAAAGTTAAAATTTATGCTTGACTATTGACGTTGAGTATCCGTGTGATGATAATTATTTATTGAAATTACTATAAAAGTATATATGTATAGTATCGTAAAACAGATGAATGCTAATCAAATTGTTGTACAAAACAAACACTCCAATTTTATTATTATGTATTTATACTAATTCTCAAACTAATAGGTCAATCTTGTAATTTGAGACCTAAAACTTAAAACCGTTTTAGATTTCGATACTAACATTATTGGCAATTAAAGTTATTAATAATTTATTTTGATATGAAATGATGTCCTCGTACAATCCGCAAGTTTGGCCACCCTATGTGTGTCTATCAAACGTTTCGTAACAAATTTCTTAAGAGTGCCATTGAGGAGGCAAATAATGGCGCCCCGGTGGCCGCTTTGTCCCCAACATCCCTTGACGTATGTCCTTTTTGTGACACTTCTCGCACCCGGCCAGCGAGCTACTCGTTTATAATGACTTTGTTTGATTGTTTAATACGTCATTTAGAAGGGCTTGTTTATTCCGCTTTTTGCCTAAAATTATGCTAATGTTACCTTTTTGTCAGTTGACTTTGTAAAATACACAAGTAGTTAGCTGCTACCTGGTTTTTACTTGTGATAAAACAAGTAAAGGATATATTTGAAAGTATATAATCATTTTATTAACGGTTATAGTTTTAGCAAAAGATTTGTTATTAAATTGAAAAAAAAAGTAAAAGAATCTTTCCAGAATTCTATGATAGATATTGCGATAGTTCAGCAATGTTATGTCATAAGTGAAACTTATTTATGACAGTTTACTAGCGCCCCCCTAAGTCATAAACTTTTCAAAAGATGCTTCTTGTACTGTAGCGTTCTTGTCTTGGTTTTTTGTCTTATTTAGACAATTTACACATTTTCTGAGAGCACTGACAGCAGCGCCTCTCGTACCGGCCCAGATAAGGTTGCATGACTATATGTGGTACGAATTTAATAAAATAACCCCCTTCTTTTTTAAGTCGGCTAAAAAAATGTTGCTATTTTCCATTTCTGATGATTCTGTACTTTTTGAGAATTGAGTTTAGTATCGATATTTTTAAATACGCTTGCGCAGATTACACGAGTATTGAGTGAAATGTATTATACAAAATCAGCGTATTATCTAAAATTAAAAAAAAAAAGAAATAATATTTGTATAAAGCTGTAAACTGTCTTAATTTTTTTATTCATAACTAGACGTTTCACACGAGGCGACAGCAAAAACTATCAAACATTCAAGTTCAAAAGGTAGAAAATGATATATCGCCGCAAAATCCCTTTATGTGGCGTCATTGATATCTAATAAAGGTTGACAAAGCGGAGTACGGCAACTGTAAATACATTGAATAGAAATGACGAGCGGAACGTACAGCATTGTGAAGTGATTCGGCGGGCGTGACCGCTCTACACATTTCCCTACTCTGTTAAAACTATTTGTTATCGTTCTATCGAAAAATAACCATAGGAAAATGATTTTACATCAATACTGTATCCTCAATATTTTATTTCTTTGATTGTAAATAAACTTTTCTGTTTTCCTTAATTAAAATAGACCTTTTCCTTATATTGCTTAGATTTCCGGATTGGTTGAATGCAATCAGAAGGTTTAAATTGAATGAGAGGAATGACAATATCGCTAATGTTTTGGCAGTGGAAACCTACGGTGTCACGTAAGCACCTTTATTGCGAGTTTCATACTCGACAAAAAAATTTAAGTAATATTAACACTTGCAACTGACTCGTCGAAATTTCCAAATGACACAATTCATCACCTGCGCGACTTGTTTGCTCATAATTCTGAGAATGAACAGAAAGAGTTGCATTTAAATGAATTTTAATTAACGATAGGTGTAAATTACAAACCGATAGTAAAAGAAACGATACTCTATCTACGGCAATTACCATAGACAGATCGTTACACATTGCACTTGCCTGACGGAATGCCATATAGATTCCTGAATAAAACCCCATTACCACTAGCCGCGTACGCGACTCAACACTCAAATGGTATTTCTATAAGTAGTAGTTACTGTACTTAATCTTAATCTAACATATAGAATATAATTGTAGTCGTGTGCGGATAGTCGCCCAATGGAAAAGGGATCTAACAAAACTACTTAAAACAAATAAACTCACATAAACAAATTGCAATGTAAATATATTGTAGATATATTCAATGTAAGCAACCATTGTGCCTTGTTAATCGCATATTGACTACGATTGTCATTACAACTGGCATTGCTAGACTACTCGAATGTGAGCCGTTTATTTTTTTTCTCTATCTCGTTGCATTGTTTCCTCATTACATTCCTTTACTTTTACACTTTGTTATTACTTAATTGTTGTTTATATTATTACACTATTGGAACATTAAGTTTGAGTATAAAATGTGTTTTGTGTGACTGCATAGGAACAGCGATTTCTAGTTGGAAAATTCTGAGTCGATAAGTTGGGAGTGAGTTGTAGTTTAGTGTAGATTTATTAAATCTATACTGCTTACGTACCCAGTAATTATATGATTCTCATTGTGGCAGTACTAGTATCAAGCTATTGTGAAGTCAGTTAAATCACATAAAGTCGATTACCGACAGTTCATATTTTGTGTACAGGAGCGGAGACATCAACTAGGATAACATAGGGGCGTACGGGCGTACAGAAGGCACGGAGTAGGTCCGCTTTGTGCGCGACGTAACCGTCCATTGTTCCCTCCTATTATCGAGTGGGTACACGGAAAGGTGGCCGCGGCGCCGGCCCACGTCATTGTCCCCGACTTATGTTCGCAAATCCGATTTATATTTGAATATAATTGACTTTCGGCTTCGTATCAGGTAAGAGCTTGTATCCCATTGTCTGGTCCCGATCTCAATGGCATTTTTATCGCTCGAACATGATAAATGTATTTGTGAGATTATGGTCCGTG